AAATATCTTCACGATGTGATGGAAAAGAATCTGAAATATAGTCGCAACCCCAGTATTAATACATTGCCAAATCACAGTTGATATGTCGATAACATTATAAATAAGGTGAAAATATAAGTTGGAATATTGTCGCAAAATGGCTACCCTTAAATAATGGTCTCCCTTACTATGAAGACCTACTCAGAAAAAATGTCAAAATGTCTAAGATATATTGGTGCACTACCGCCAACAACATCATCAATAAGTGCATTCTTACTAGCACTCTTCCAAAGTTCTTCAAATCATTTGTTGTAAAACGGTTTATACTAAAGACACCATCTCTTGATTCAAATATTCTCCAAAATTAAGGGCTGCTTTCCAGTCTGCCAATTTTATCCCAGATTCTAGTAAAATCAGTCAAAACAGATTTATTTGACTATCATGGGCAGAACAATTTCTTTTGTTTTGTTTTTTTTCAGTCTGATTATTTACCCCATCATGGGACTGAAACAGCTTAAACAAAATTTTAAATGACTTGAGGATGTGTCAATAATGGGCATGTTTCACAACTGGTACAGTTATACATGCATCTTACCAGCAAAACGCTTTCATCCACCATCTTCAGCTAGTATTAAAGGACAATATTGGTGCCAGTCATTATCACATGACATATGTGATAGAGCTGGTTAAACACATTCCAAATATAATTTTAACACAGAGATCATTGCTACGATAGCTGAGTAATACAGGTTTCCTGAGTCGGAAGTGACGAACGCCAAAGGAAAACACGAGTCATCTCTCTATATAACTGACTGATGTGACGAGTGATAACGGATATACGGCCGAATTTCTGCTCACTAATAATTCCTTCCAAGACCAAAAGTTGATATATGGGACTGTAAGAGGATACCTGACAATTCAATAAAGTAATTGAATGTCATTAGATAAGAGAACACGAGAAAAATAGAAATAGTCCGAACATTCCCTTGTTTATATTCATTCTATATCTTATAAAAACATGGTAATGCACAGACTTTTTCTGTTTTTCTTTCGTGTTCACTTATCTAGTTGCAGTCAATTCTTTTTATGAATTGTCAGATATTCTCTCACAATCTATTACAACAACATTTGGTCTTCGAATGAATTATTAGTGAGCAGAAATTCGCCCGTATATCCGTTATCACTCGTCACATCAGTCAGTTATATAGAGAGATGACTCGTGTTTTCCTTTGGCGTTCGTCACTTCCGATTCTGGAAAACTGTATTACTCAGCTATTGTAGCAATGATCTCTGTGTTAAAATTATATTTGGAATGTGTTTAACCAGCTCTATCACATATGTGATAATGACTGGCACCAATATTGTCCTTTAAATCATTGATTCTTTGCAGCCTTGATTACTTAAAGCGATAATTTCATATTTTCTAAGAAAGTCAAAACATAATTATTTCTATGTCTTTTGCTCAATATTATCAACTCACTATTTTACGACCATGGGCATTATTTCCCACCCTTAAAAATCATTGACACAGGAAATAATAACACAATTATCTCCCTTGTTTTCCTATTGCCACCATGCATTAGCTACCTTCAAACGTTGGAATTTGAAGTTGAAAATGATATTTTTGCCAATTTCTCAGCTGGCAATAGTGACTTATAGGATTAATAGGATTATTCTTTAACAAGGTAGGACGGTTTATGGATACCATCTATTTCAAGGCTTTATTTTAATAAATTTTAAAAATATAACTTAAAAATATGAAATTGCAGCTTTAATAATTCTTCTAATCTATTGATTTCAAGCCTTATTTTACTTTTCCTCATTATATTCACTAAATAAATTATCATGTTGCATTTATGACAATTTATATATTACAATAAAAATATCCATCACCACATACAGCTAAATTTTTCATTCAAAAACTTGTAAGGTGCCCCTGATTTGAAATTAGTTGCAGTAAATTAGTCTACTGATTGGTCTCTGGCTGGTTGGCAGGCCGGGATTATTAAGACCATTTTGAGCAAAACAGACAGACAGACAGCTAGGAAATATATCCGAATTGAGTACATTCACACTGAGTGCATTTGTCACAATGTAAATACATTATTATTATCAATTTATCATTAAAGGGTGCATATTTTTTGGAACCTTAAAATAGATGAACATGGGTCTAAAAACACATTTTAATTTCTATTCAATTATGTTCCATGAAATACACGAACAGACTGAATTGAACTACAGTCGTTTACATCTGTTTAGTCCATTCTACACGTTTTTTTTTTTAAAACGTTATTTTAATTGTGAAGAAGCTGGGCAAGATAACAACATTTATATTGATGGAAATGAACTATTATTGAATTTTAATTCTGTTTTTATGGAAATTTGGAGTTCGATTTGAAATAGATGTGAACAATCTGGCTTGTGCTTACAAATAAACTTTAGTTCCCATATCTATCAACATTTGTTTTTAACATTCACCAAGGCTTACAAATCTAAATTTCTTACACGCATTAACAAAATAGATTTCCTCATAACTGTTACTTTCTGTTTTTATCAGTCCTGTGCAGACATTTCCTAGTTTAAGTTGTAACATCAATAATTTTATACAAACGTTCCACTCTAAGGATCACCCCTATTGTTTTTGGTGCATGCCCAACCACCAGGGGTAGAGCCACGCCCATTTTTTCTTTATGTGTCTGTGTGTCACCTACAGGCCACAATTCTTAATGGATCATCTTGAAAACTTTTCATACGCTCAATTTTGTGTGTGTCTTTGTGTCAACTATAGGCCACAATTCTTAACAGATCCTTTTGAAACTTTGCATACCTATTCCTTATTCCAGAAGATCGATCACTATTGTTTGTATACGCCCACATTGAAATGTAGTCGAATATTGTCGTCCCCCTCGTATATCCTGCAGGCCCAATTGTGGACGCTCTAGAAGCTAAAGTTAATATCCGTTTAACTTTAAATTTATACACCGTGTTTAAGGTCATGAGACGAAGAAGCCTATTAATTTTCAACGATTTTTCGATAGTTACTGCCAGAGTTATGACCCTTGATCACTTTGAAAAATTATACACAGTGTTTAAGGTCATGAGACAAGGAATCCTATTGATTTTAAACGATTTTTCGGTAATTACTGCCAGAGTTATGGCCCTTGATCACTTTGCAAAGTCTTGTGGATGCTCTAGTGGCTAAAGTTAATATCCAATTGACTTTAAATTTATACACAGTGTTTACGCCTATATATAATCGTTTCGAATAATTTTAGATTGATACACAGAGTTTAAGGTCTTAAGACGAACAAGTATATTGATTTTCAATGATTTTTGATAACTTGAACAGCTAAATCCATGGGCCAAACAAATTCAAATAATTTTCTGATAATTACTTAATGAGTTGTTACTCTTAATCAGATTTTAGTGTATTATAAATGTTTCATTACCGACAAAAGTAAAAATTTGTGAAATTCTTGTTGACTGCCCGGACGATTTAACTGCTGCAGGCGTATGTTTCAATGCCTGGCAACCTATCTTTAATATGTAAAGTCAGATTCAAATTATTTATTAAGTGTATATAATCTGTAATGGATCAATATGCCCTGTACATTGTGTAGGCTATAATATACACTACAATATTTTGAATTAAAATGGTAAATCGAATGAGTTGTCTGCAATGAATTGAATTCCTAAATTAATGCAAACAAATTTTGCAGCACTTTTCAGACAGTCTGCTTTGATCCGGATTCCTACAGATTGCAATTTTCAAATGAACAAGGATAATTAGAATTCTCTAGAATACCTTTGTATTACACTATGTGCTACATGTTTATTTAAATGTCAAGTCAGCTTGTTTTTGGTTGTAGATAAAGCCATACTGTTCTATATATACTTTAACCAAACAGCTGATCCCCAATATTGCCCAATCGAACAGCTGGTTAGATAAGTGTTAACCAATCAAAGCCTAGACATTCAAGGTCTTAAGATGTTCAACTGAATGTTATTGTGACCTATATAATTGATATTTAATATCCCATATAAATAATATCCTGAATGTAACAAGCTTTTTATATTAGTTATATATAAGGCTAAATTTAGATGAATATTAAAAATGTATTATGCAAGAGCTAAATCTGCCTATTATCTAAATTAAGAATAAGACATTAGACATAATTAACTCATGATGCCATCGTTAGCTTGCGATATTTAGTGGATTTGAATACGTTTATGATACATTTATCAATAATCAAGACTTTCATGTAGACGTATATTGTCGTTGCCCCTGTCCATCTGTCTCCGTCCACTATTTGCTTGTGGACACTCTACAGGTCACAATTTTTATCCAATTTTGACGAAACTTGAAATATAGGTCTATCTCCCTTAGATCTCAGTTTCTTATGATAATGGCATGTATCGGACCATAGCTTCATGGATTATGGCCCTTGATTGTACGAAAAATCACATTTTTAGCTTGTGGACAGTGCTTTACTCATTGAGCCACAGCTGCTCCTGTGTATATTAAAATACATGCGGTTTACTGGAAAATATGGCTTTCTATGCACATGTATTTAAAGCCCAGTCTTTATCCATCTGTTAAATGTTTGTAAGCCATTAAAAAGTGAACATTTTCACTGTTGTTCAATACTTGAAAAATAATCAGAAAAGGATCTTTTCATATCATGTGGTCTTATATTTATCATCCATTGTTTTGCTAATTTTGTTTTCTTATTTGTTGACAAGGAGTAGGGTCCAACCTCGTGGGTTTTCTCTGGTTCCTCCGGTTTACTCCCACTGCTAAAGACCCCTACGCGCAAGCAAATTATTGAAATAAAATAATTAAACCATATGTTAGTCCCGAAATGACCTAGTTTCTCTCTCTCTCTCTCTTTCTAACTCTCTATATAAAAACTGGATAAAGTTAAGGTGTTTAACAAAATGCTCTCACAAATTTTATTTCAGATTGGCCTGCAGTTGTTTGTTCAAATAAACCATTGATTTTCAATTCTGTATATTTGTAGCCTCAAGATTAGGCAGACGACCAAAGCGTTTGAAAGATGTCAGTGGTGAACATGGTAAATCTCATGGTAATCTTCCAATTGCCCCATATCCTTCGCCTGCTGAATTGTATCGCCTACGTATGGCAGAATTACAAAAACTCCTTCAAGCTAATGGTACCTTTAAAGCAGAACTTATGGAGGCCTTTCTATCTGCAGCTCAGGCAAGTTTTCGTGATCATGCTAAACAGCCCTCAACATCTGAGAATTCTACAGCACCAACATCTCAACAACAACAACAACAACAACATCAACCACCACCACAACAACAGCCTCCCACCCAGTTCGCATCGCCTAATATGCCTGTCACTACAGTTGAGTCTGGCTATTCAAGTCTCAGTAGTCCAGCTAGTTCCAAAAGCCAGTCTCCTTCTCAGGACCCCAATTTACTGCTTGGTAACGGCATGAATTTTATGGACAATCTGGGATTGTTCAATGTTCCGTCACTTGATGGTAGTCCATCCATGACATCTCCTATGGATTCAGTTGGCTCTAATCAGATAGACTCAAATGTGCTTTCTCCAATTCCTGATGGATTGAATCTGGATGCATGCTTTAATGAATTTCTAAATATGGAATCGGTATCAATCAAATCGGAACCCGTCTCATCACCATCGTGTTGCCAACTGCAATTGGGTGTAATAAATAATGATTATATGGAAAGAGCGCTAAAGGAAGTCAAACTGGTGCCATCAGATACCAGACGTCACCTTATAGAACAGGTTACAGATACTGTGATTGCAGCACACATGTTAACGTGTATAAACTCACACCAAGCTGTTGAAGAAGCTAATAACAAAATAAATAAAATGTTGATCTCTGACGTAAGTTACTATATTTCTTTTTGTGATACACCCACATTGTAATGTGGTAGTAGACTGCCAACACACCTCTCCACCCGTCATCCATAATTGGTTTTTGACACTTACTGAGTTATGGCTCTTGATCGTTTTGAAAAATCTTTTGGAAGTTCTAGAAGCTACAATTATTATGCAATTGATTTAAAATTTATACACAGTGTATAAATCAAGTTCACGAGACTGATCAATTTACTCTTGTGGACATTCAATGGACCAAATATATTATCTGAATGACGTGAAATTGACACACAAAGTTTAAGTTTATGAGACAAAGGAGGGATGGTTGGCTGAATGGTGAATTGAGTAAAGTGGCATTGTTTCGATTCCCCACTTGTACGTGATAAGGAGTAGGGTCGCCTGTCTAATCTTGTGGGTTTCTCCGGTCCGACCCCTATGCACAAGTGAACTATTGAATTAAAATTGAACCATATGTTACATGTAGCTAGTCCCAAAATGACACAGTTTGTGTCAAGTGTACATAAAACCTCATTTCTGTCTCAGTCCTGTCTCTCTGAAGAGCCAAAGAAACCTATTGACTGTCATCCTATTGACTTGAAACTTATACACAGTGTTTATGTTCATGAGATGAGGAATCTGATAAAAACTTTGGATTTATAGCCCATGTTCACGGTCTGGAATCTTGTGAACTCTCTTGTTGCTAAAGATAGTATCCAATTGATTTGAAATGTTCCAGTGTGTATGTCTCATTGCCTGAAAACCTATCTTTTTTGTAGCCTGCATTTGCACACCATTGTGCCGAACCCTCTTTTATATGGGGTAAATTCCTGAAACAGATGGTACCAGAGTTAACAAATGTTGTCAAGTTCTGTAAAAAACTACCAGGTTGGTTCCAATTTATATTTTTATATGCCCTATTGATTTTCAGCAGTCTGCAACCTTCTTATCCCACTTGTCTAAAAACCTTGTAAAGCAAATAGAACCTTCAATTAAGGACTGATTTTGTGTTGGTGTCAAGCCAAAAGCAAAGCTAAAATTATTTTTAAAAAAAACAAACTTATAGTTCTACTTACCTAATATTTCTAAACAAGAATTCAATCATTTAGAGCTAGTCCCACCACTGTTAGCAATACATATAGCTCACCAATACTCTATTTTGATTTAAAGCAAGACAGTAAAAATTAAAAAATTGTTCATTATTTTCAGGATTTTTAGAAATAGATCAAGAGGATCAGATTAAACTGATTAAACAGGGATCATTTGAGGTTCTGCTTGCACGGTTTTCCATGTTAGTAAGTCCTGAAACTAACGAGATGATAGATCCAACACTTTCTGTAAGGTGTTCTAGGTAAGTCCTTAATCTAATAATAATATATTTTCTGTATAAAGGTGTTCTAGGTAAGTTCTTAGTCTAATAAGATTATACTTCCTGTAAGGTGTTCTAGGTAAATTCCTAGACTAATAAGATTATATTTTCTGTAAGGTGTTCTAGGTAAGTTCCTAGACTAATAAGATTATATTTTCTGTAAGGAGTTCTAGGTAAGTCCTTAGTCTATTAAGATTATACTTTCTGTAAGGTGTTCTAGGTAAGTCCTTTGACTAATAAGATTATACTTTTTATAAGGTGTTCAAGGTACATGTAAGTCCTTATGAGATTTAGAGTTTTAGGTAAATCCTTAGACTTATACAGTGCAGGTTAAGTCCCTATAAAATTATTAAATTTGTTTATAATCGATGAATGAAAGATGAAGTGGAGTGCCATGATGAACATAGCAGATGTCTACTAGCCAAGTAAATATGGCGATGCCTGGTTCCTGATATATGACTTTTACTATACATCTATGATTCTCGCACATTTATGGTATGAAACAAATTTCATGCAATGGGATAAAATCGCACATGTCTGCAGCTACCTTAAATTGCATGTTAACTCTTATTTCAGGGCTGTTGTTGCAGAAATGCCAATGGGTTTTCTTTTTGATGAGTTTTTCAATGTGTCAGAACAGTTTAATCCCTTAAAGTTAACAGATGGGGAAATTGGTTTGTTTACATCTTTACTAATTATTTGTCCAGGTAAGTTTCTCTTTATACATTCTCACTCATTTCTTATAGGGCCCTTAATACAGTCTCACTCTTTTCTTATTAGATCCATTATACAATGCCACTCATTTCTTATAAGACACATTATACTTTTTTCTTATAAGGCCCTTTACACAATCTCACTCTTTTCTTATAAGGCCCTCTATACAATGTCTCACTTGTTCCTTATTAGACCCATTTATTATACAATCTCACTCTTTTCTTATATGACCCATTATACAATCTCGCTCATTTCTTATAAGACCGGGGGTGGGTGGATGGCCGAATGGTTAGCACCTGCGTGCTGTATCATAAGACCTGTCATTGAGTCAACTGGCGTGGTTTTGAATCCCCGGATGTCCGTGACAAAGGGGTAGGGTCACCTGTCCAACCTCGTGGGTTTTCTCCGGGTCCTCCGGTTTCCTCCCACTGCTAAAGACCCCTACGCGCAAGCAAATTATTGAAATAAAATTAAACCATATGTTAGTCCCGAAATGACCTAGTTTGTGTCGATTGGACGGTAAACCCCATTTCTCTCTCTCTCTTATTAGACCCTTTACAAAATCTCTTTCATATAAGACCCTTTATACAATCTCACACATTTCTTTTAAGACCCTTTATATAATCTCACTCTCTTCTTATAATACCAATTATATCTCAATATTTCCTTGGAACATATAAGACACGTATGCAATCTCACCGTTTTTATTTAAGGCACAATATACAATCTCATTTTTTATATGAAATAAATAACCATCATATACAATGTATGACAGTTAGTGCAGGACCAGTGCAGAAATGAAATATGTTCATTCAACTTAGATTCTCTTTTTCAACAAATTATGTTGTTCACAGATCAATAGTAAACAGTGTAGTAATCATGTAATCCGTGAACATATTTATTATACACCAATTATGGGTTAAAGTAGCTAAGTCTCTAACTCAATATCATACAAAGTCTTCGACATTGAAAACATCAATTATTTGTCAAATTAAATCAACATTGATGTTGTGATCTTATTCTTATCTGGAGAACATGTGCAATAAATATTATCGGTGTAGACTGGAATAACCAGACGATAGAAATCACCGAACATAACTAATTAGAAAAACAGTAAAAACAGAAACGATTTAATGTAAATCAGTTTATATACATTCATAAAAACAGAAACGATTTAATGTAAATCAGTTTATATACATTCATATTACATTATTATGCGTTATCATGACCCATTTGTGTCAATTTCTAGGTCCCAAATATTAGTGATTTAGCTCCTTTAGTAAGCTCTGTAGCTCATAATTTGGGGGGGGGGGGGGGTTCTATATTTCACTAACAAGAACTAATTTGAATTTTTTTCAGAACGCCAAAATTTGAAAAATAAACGAGCTATTAAAAAGATTCAGGGTTTATTCCAGCAAGCATTGTTTTTGATGATGAAGCGAAATCATTCAGGTATGAGACAATACTTGATATTAAAGACAGTTGTTACATGTATCATCCCCAATGCATAATCATTATTTGGGAAGCCTGTCCAAACTATCAGAAAAAAATGTTGCAAAAGACTTATTATTTTTTGAAATACTTAAGGGTGGAATTCCCACCTACATGTTGCACACATGTAAGACAATATGAAAATAAGATGAGGTTTAATGTCCTACTGTTCTGCTCCAACTTGGGTAATGACGATAGGCATATACCATGCAGTGTGCTATGAGGGAAATTTTGCCGGAATAGCAGCGCTATAGGGATTTTTTACATGCACACCAATGTACACACTTGACCTCGGTTTTCGTCCCATCTGAACGTCTATACATTGTCCCTTGGCAGTCCCTCCGTCCTACACCACTGACAATTGGGAACCACGCCGAAAAATGACAATGAACTTTCTCGGCCAATACTTTTATCGAACACATGACATCACATCCAGGTTAGCGAGGCAATGTTTTTATCTCTGCAGCTCCAAGACAATATGTGGACTTTGGCTAGTGTTTCCACAGTAGATGTTAATTTCTAAGATCACTGGTCTGCTGGTTGTCCTCCATGCAAGCTTAGAATTATAACACACAAATATGCGTGAGAGAGTTTCACTTAAAAAAATATATGTTTTAAACTGTTCCTAATCATTTAATATAATTATTATTCCAGATACCGATCATATGTTTATGAAACTTCTGACCATGATACCGATGTTTCAAAAAATAAACGATCAACACTCGACGGCCCTGAATAATATCAAGATGAATGCTCCTGATGCTTTTGAAAAAGAATTTGAGCCCTTGCACAAAGAAGTGTTTGACACGTCTATGTAAGACTTGTCAGTGAATGGAGAATTATTGTTACTAAGAGAGAATATTTGTTGAAAAGATTTGTGTGGATATTTCAGTGTTGATTATACTATATGTAACATATTTTAATCATCGTTATTTTTAATGGAATATTAGAAACGTACGTTAAGTGGTGGAGACTATGACGGACATTTTATGTGATCAGGGCTGAAGACATGGATGTATTGAAAATAGCTTTTTCTGTGTGCAGGATTTCTTTCAAAACTTTCTGAATTCGAGTTTGGTTCTGGCTTAGCTGTGCTTCTCGACCATACGTTTGAACATGTTTCTTCTACTATGAGATGCATCAAGATGAGGATATCTATTATAGGGCAACAAATATAAAAGACACGGAAGATATTACATTGGTTGATTTATGTACTTTGACAATTCAGGCGATTCAGAGAGAAGTTTGTTTTTTTTGTTTTTATTTGTGTAACATACTGGAATATAATAATTGGATTGCATTTTAATCAATTTATGTACTAGCTACATATATGGTCAATAAAGTAAGTTGTTATGATTTTTAACAAAAACAATGAGAAATGAATTTTGTTACATATGTAGTCAAAAGTAATTAAATGAAACAGATGGTATTCATGAAATATTTGTTACTTGTTTTGTTCATTTATTCTTTTAACATACTTGTATTTTAACATTACTATTGGTAATAACATTTTTGAGACTTGTTTTTTTCATTTCTTCGTAAATTTTAGTATTAAATGCACAACTATATGATATTTACCGTTGTGCCTGATAGATTGGTCTCTTACAACGTGCCGAATGAAATTTACATTAATTACAGCAAAGATTGTACATGCACAATTTGTCAACTGTTAAGCTTTCAATTGTAAATTTTAGCAAATGGTTTATTCTACAGCTACTCTATTTTTGTTCTATTTCATATTCATAATACATTGTAGCCCAAATTGGACATTTCTTTGCAGAGGCATAAAAGTCTCCACTTCAAAACTTCATGCTAGGAAATCTTCATGAAATTTTACTTGCATGTCATCAACAATGAAATTCAACCATTGGCTTATTGAAACACACACCCGAAAAACAAAAATACAAAATTAGTGAGTGTATTTTAAGGGCAATAATAACTAAATTTCATTTCAGTGCTGGTCTGACAATAATAGTTGCTATAAGATGGCTATTCTGTCAAAATCAGACTAGACTGGATTGGCCAAATGCAAAGATTTTCAACATGTAAATCAAAATAACTACAACTCATTGAACTCCCACCTGACCTTTAATAACTAATGGTGATATATTTTTAAAAAAAAAAATACAAGACAGACATATTGATATGATTAAGAACAGATACTAATTTTCAAACACAGGTTTTTGGCGAAGAAAAAATCACATGTGTTTACAGTTTTCATATCAGAGTATTAACAGCATCAGTACGCTATATATCTACACGATCATGCGAGTGATGGACATTTATCAAACATGATATGCAGTTTAATTTGAACTTAGTCACTGCTGGATTTCAAAATCATTTAAAACGGAAATACCAAAACACAAATCTGTTCGAATGTTCTAAAATTATCGCAGAGTGACATCCCTTTATAAAAAAAAACAAATCGAAAGAGAGCAACGTTTTATCTTGTCATGTCCCAATGTTTTCATAACCTAAAAATTGTATTCTTTGTTTTTTTCGTCCTTAAAACAAGCAAAAAAAACCTGTCAAAAATCACGAAACAAAGAATTCAAGAAAGATATTTTGGGCTACAATATCCATAAACTCCTCCTGTTTAGAATTTAGAGGACTGTTATTGCTCATTTGATTCCTCTTAGAGGCATTCAATCGCTAATGATTTAAGCAGTATCAAACAAGCAATAACAGTCCTCTAAATTCTAAACAGGAGGTGTTTATCTCCTTATTGATATTTTAGACAATTTTTGTGAAGTTGACATAATTTTTGAAGCTTTAAGATTGTCTTCATGTAGAACTTAATTCTTGTATTAATACATATAAATATTATATGTGCTTTTGATGTGTGGTTGTTGCTTATTTAACTATATATTAGTGACAAATTCTTGATATTTCCCCAATAGAGTAATTTCTGACATTTCTATACAACTGATTTAAAGTTATTTATTGTGATGGACGAGTTATCTCCCTTACTTATATGCTCACACGTAGCCAGTAACTGCTTTGAATTTAATTGAATTGAAAAGTTAATTATTTGAATTTTTTTCTTTTGAAACTGAATTAAAAGTAGATAAGGTATGGATTAGCTTACACACCACCCATTAAAGATCAGGGTTGTAATAACTTAAAACCTGACATGCAGTTAAATATAGAGTTTTAATTAAACCACAATCTAAAAATACTTGTTTTAGCATCTTGGTAGAAATAGAATCGTAATTAAAGGATGTAATATGTCAACATACCTAGCTAAAAAAAAATATTTTCAGAGACATAGGTTAAAGCTAGAATAAAGATATAGAGAGCTGAAGACCATACACAATCTAAGTTAGGCCTACTGATTTAATTGGTGTAGATGCTACTTAAAGTTAATCACCACTTTTGACAAAACTCTTAGGCAGAAATACTGGGCATCAATTTCTGCTCAATAATAACTTCAAATACATTTATATTATTGTGTTCACTGTTCACGTCATTGTTAGAGGTGCTTTAAATGGAACATATCTTCTTAGTATTTATTTTAGGTTTTTTTAAAGTCTACTATTAATAACTTTAATTTTTTAATGGAAACTGAGTCTTGTGTGAATAAAACATTGTCATAATTAACTTCCTGGATGAGTTTATTTTTACAGATAATAGCTGTATCATTGACTTAAACAGTGTATGTCTGTATTAGGCTTATATCGGCATATACCTTTACTCAGCTGAAACCAAACAAAACTAAGAAAATTCAAAAATTAGGTTCTATGCACTTCTAATGGTAAATAATCTAATGTAGAAGGCATAATTAATCTGTTTTAAACTAACAACTAAACATGGAAAAAGAAAAATGATGCACTTTGTTGTAAGCTGCCTGTATTGCTATGTACATTTGTTTAGGATTTTTTGTAAATAGCTTTGTTGATAATTGTAGCTATTGTTATTAATAATCGTTATAGATAATATACATATATATATATATATATACACCTGCATCATCATGTGCTAATTATTGTTAGAAGGCTTCTAATTTAGACACAACCTTAGTTGTACTTTTAACTATTTTCAAATTTCTATTTTTAATACTAGAAGATTGTTTGTAAATATCATTATTTAGAGGAGTATAATGACTTTGATTTAGGTCAAAATAAAGTGTTAAATTTGGTAAACAGCAGAAGTTGATCTCTTTAAATTTTTTACTTTGATGCTTTGCTTGAACTTTTTAAAACGAAAGTTGGCACTATCAATGGACCTTAAATTTTATATGTAAAAAGATACCCGCATTGAAAAATAAATCAACACTTTAAATTTAATTGTATTGACAATTTTAGTTTGATATTTTTAAGTCGTGTAATTTTTTAAGTATTAAGATATTTGACATGAAGTAAGGAAATTTTTTTAATCTGCTCCTAAGCTTGATATTAATATCAGAATTCATAAAAGTTTAACTTAGCTAAATAAATGATTTGCATAGAGGCCAAAATCGAACCTTTTCTTTATTGAAACTTAGATTTAGTATGGTATGTACTGTTGTAGCTGGCTTGCTCTAAATCATTTTGCTTGTTCAATGACCAGGTTTTGTGAGAATAGTGACTAGATATAGTTCACCCTACTTATAAAATGAATATTTTTTCAAACTTGGTGAGGTTGTTCATTAGGGTATAAGAATTTTGGATCAAAATTGCAGGCAGGTTTTTCCTGGGTGCATTTTGATATTTTTAACTTGTGAATGAATACAGGACAAGCTTTATTGATGAAATTTTTTAAACTTGCAGGGTTGTCCATTTTAGACTTAAGAGGAATCCTATCTAAGTTAAGAACTTTTTAAATGTAACAAGCCTAGTGTTCCTCCTGATGATGTTTTCTAAACAGGTGATGCAAGACAAAGTTCTTGACAGATTTTTTTTTTATCTAACTCCGCGGGATTTGTTGACAGTCATTTTGCATAATTTCTTCTTCTACTAGAGTCCCGACATGAAATCAATTTCTAATGCATTTAAAGTTAACTTTGAAACAGTGGTTGATGAAGGTTTTTTGATTTCAGGAAAAATGAATTTTAGAAAGTTGTGGAAGTGCTCAATTGTTAGAATGATTTTAGAATTTTGGAATAATCTATTTAAGTTTCAATATTTAAATGGTTTGATTATCTATGTTATATATCTGTTGTAGATTACTGGAGTTGACCATTCTTGTTATTATTTTATCTAGGATGTTGTGTTGATTAGATTAGTATTGTTCAATCTTTAAAGAATTATAAACTATATATCAGAAACAAGAATTATATTGTTTCGTTAATTGTATTTTATTAATGTGTCATGCATATAGATACATATACGGTATTTTTAATCAATATCATGCTCAATGTATTTGCCAAATTAAGGGAAACACTTTTGAAGTAAAATTTATTTTATTTAGATACAGTTCAAGCTTGCCATTACTGCATTTTTCAGTTTGCATACACTGTTAACAATGAAATGAAATCATAAATTTTACATGTGTTACATGTGCTAAGTATTTTATGTTGAAATATTACGTTCAAGCATAATGTGTATTGATATAACATAATGTTCAGGGAGATATATAAATGGCTTTTGTCAAAACTAATTGTATTAACATTTATATGATCATTTTATCATAACAGATGTGTTTGATTGCTCTTTTATTATTAGCTATAGATTGCCTAAAACTTTGTCTTATCGAATGATTGGATGAAAAGATTGTCTGTGTTATAAGATAAATAAAAGTAGGGATGCATGGCGATCAATCTAAACCTTAGGCTACTACCATACTGTTGTAACGTTTTGATGATAGTATATTTATAACAATTAATAATAACACATACATATGTGTATTTTATAAGCTAAGAAAATTAAGGGGAATATTTAAATTAATGTTAAGTTTATTTATCAGTGGTCCTGTTAGCTACAAGAACTTGCTAAAAACCTGGTATATAAGATGAGTATATAAGATGAGTTTGCTTTTAGCAACTCACTGAAAAGAAGTATAAAACTTTGGCACCGTTTTAAACAAACAATGTCCAGTGAAAATGAATTTTGGAATCGCAGACCGCCATGACTAATTTAAGTTTCCCAGTGTACAAATTTCAGGTGGGTTTTCTTTTTAAAAATTGGTTCATGGCATGTAGGAAATTTAACAAAAACAAAAGGTATTGTAGCACTTATAACAAGATTGATTCTTTACTTGGATAGGGTCTAGCTTTATATCACTAGGCTATTTGATAAAAAGCTACATGCGTAGTGTTATTATTTTTTAGCACTTGAGATGATTTAGTTTAAAATGGATAAGCGAGAATTATGCTGTGGATAATTATGTATATCTGGTTTCAAATTTGCTTTCTGGATTATATGGTACAACATGTAGGCTGTGTGAAAACGGTCTTTCTATGACATTCAGCTCTTTATTTAGCTTTCTAGCTTTAACCAAACTACAAATTTCATTAATAAGAGCTCTTTGAGGAGCAAGATAGAGGAGTGGGAGTGTTATTGGCATGGAGGCTCTACATAATATTTGAATTAATTTCCAAAAATATTTGCTGTATCAATATTGTTCGACAGTCATAAGTGTGAAGTGGAAGCGTTGTAGTTCATGTGTAATAAATGATGGAGAGACTCATTATCAACTGCTGTCTATTATCAGGTTTATCATCTACGTCATAATAGTATGATGATTATTGTTTATATTGATTAGCATACTATTTAAAACTGCTGCCTGTATTTTACATTAGCTTAACATTAGTACTTTTTAAATTAGATACATTAGTGCTTTATCAACAGATCATAGAACTGTTTTTTTGTTGTTTTTTTTTTGTTCAACACAAGTTTTACTTGAATTTAAATCACCTGTTGCTAGAAATCGGGGTAAAACTGGAAAGTAATACTGATTTCCTTTTTGACACTGAATAAAAATACAGTATCCAAATAATATGTTGGAAAATAGTGAGTTACAAATTTTATTAATTCTTCAGTTGAACAAAAAATATATTGCTCAGGACTTCTGAGTTGACAAGGTTAAGAAAAGAAGATAGTGTTTCACAAAAAAGAAAAATTGTTCAGGTTTAGATGTGGTGTCAATTGTTATCCAGAATGCTGAAATTGTTTTTCATTGTTTCAAGGGAGATAACTACGGCAAGAATACTGCGACCTGGTCCAATATTAATGATGGAACAAATGAGATTTAGCTAAGCTTTATATAAAACAAAAGAATGCCTTCTGTATTCGTTCTGTGATCTATATTACTCAGATATGTGTTCAATGTGTTTATTATGTGGTTAAAATATAAAATATCTAAATATGTTACAATCCAATCATACAGTTGGGCAAATTAACATAATGGATTTACGTCAATACACCCAGAGGGACTTCCAAGTACTTTAATAGAATTTTCACTAATACCCTTTGTGATATTTTAACTCATTGAATTGAATTGAATAATATATACATGTACCCGTATTTTACACGGATATGTATAGTGTACAGTGATTACACCTATATTTTCAGTGAATGCATAATTTAACAATATATACGAGATATACATATTTTATTTGTTCATATATTATAACAAGAGACCCTTAGTTACGGTTTCCAACTTAAATTACCTATTAGGTAGCTTATTGTTACCCACTAACAACGTGTTTAAATACAAACATATGTAATAGTTCATATTATTATTATTTGTTGTATATATTCATCTCTCTTTTTCTGTGTATTATTAGACCTACTAATATAATGAAGTGACAATTATGTTTTTGCTTTTTGTTCTCCATAATGATTTAATGTAAGAAAGTATGGTATTTTTGTGGCATACTATTTTGCTGTATTTGGGTAAGCCTGCCATTACTGTACAAATAATGCATCAATAAAAATGTCTTTATAAAACTTAGATTTTGTCATTAATAAGCTTTTGACAGGCCGAATGGGAAATTCGTAAACTTTTCCAAGGAGATATTGACCAATCGGATGTTAGTATGCAACATTTGTGGTTTACTGTTGATCACATTGATAGTTAATCCACGTGTCCATTACACTTTACTTGTGCCATTTAAATGCATTGCAAAAGAATCTTTTGGAAGTGTCCATCAATTCTTGGCTTTGGTATGAGTTATGGTTAAACATCTTACTGATATGACAATAAAGACTATTGGAGAAGTCAGTCGGTAGGGGATGTCCTGTAATTCGCATAAGCCGGGTCCAGTTTTGCTCATAGCTCAGTTATCAGAAAAGTAGGTCGTTAAATCACATTCCATTTCATGGATACCATGTGATATGTTCATCTCACTAATCCAAACATAAGATTCAAGTTTGTCAGAGAAAATCTTTTGCAGCTTTAGTCACTACAAGATTCTGCAAAATGATCAAGGGCAATAACCATAGAAGAAATCATCGGACATTATTGTAAAATTGTTCCCACGAGCCAATCAAGACGGCGCACAGTTACACAGAAAATCGGCTTTAAAATGGATTCTTTCTGATTACTTTATCTAGCACTGATCTTTCTCTAGAAAATGGGTATGCGTCTCTTATATATAGATTCGACTTGGTGCAGTTACTTCGAGATTTCAACCCACAATTCCTTTGCTAATGCTGCTCGGATTCATGAAATATACATTTCCAAAAGCTTAAAGGCTCAATACCACTCTTGTTGTAACTGAATAATATGTCCCAATCTTTATTCTGGTCAACAAATTGTACTATTTTAGAATATTTCAATTAATTGATGATACAAATTTCATCTTAACACACCTTATTTAAAAATTTTGAAAAATTCAACATAATGGTTTGAAACGTCTAACGTAAACCTTTTCAAATGAAACTTCAATTTAAAAATATTTTCGAACCCTCTGGACAAGTAAAATAGGATATAATGGATAATTTACACAACAGGTAGGACACTTAAACATCTAGTACTTAGATAGAGATATTATTTATTTTCTGGAGCTTTTAAGCCAGCAAGAGTGTTATTGTCCCTTTAATCACTAAGTGGCATATGGCATCAGTTTCAATTTTTATATCAATGTGGACGTATATTGCGTCGCTCGTGTCTGTGTGTATGTATGTGTGTGTCGCCTACAGGCCGCAATTCTTAAGTGATCCTCTTGAAACTTTACATACTGATTCCTTTACCCTAAGGATGATCCCTGTTGTTTTTATGGTGATTGCCCGACCGCCAGGGGCAGAGCCACTCCCATTTTTTCCTTTGTGTGTCTGTGTGTTGCCTACAGGCCACGATTCTTAATGGATCATCTTGGAACTTGGCATATGTATTCCCCATAGCCTAAAGACCGCAACTATTGATTTTGGTGCATGTCCTGGTCCCCAGGGGCAGAGGCCCAAGTTTTCCATTTAGCGCCCGAAGGACACAATTCTGAATGGATTATGTTGGAACTTAGTATACTTATTCCTTATACCCTAAGGACTGCAACTATTGATGTTGGTGCATGATTTCCCCACCCCACCCTTTGGACTGTGCTACACCCATATTTTGTCTGTAAATGATATACAGATTGCAATTATAAACAGATTTGGATCCAATTCGGAATGATCCAGCATAGGGTTATACCTATTTTTATTGCTCCATGTCCAACCACCAGGGGCAAAGCCACGTCCAATTTTTGTCTACAGGCTGAAATTCTAAATGGATCATCATGGAACTTGGCATATTTATTCCTTATAAACAGATTTGGATCCAATTCGGAATGATCCAGCATAGGGTTATACCTATTTTTATTGCTCCATGTCCAACCACCAGGGGCAAAGCCACGTCCAATTTTTGTCTACAGGCTGAAATTCTAAATGGATCATCATGGAACTTGGCATATTTATTCCTTATAAACAGATTTGGATCCAATTCGGAATGATCCAGCATAGGGTTATACCTATTTTTATTGCTCCATGTCCAACCACCAGGGGCAAAGCCACGTCCAATTTTTGTCTACAGGCTGAAATTCTAAATGGATCATCATGGAACTTGGCATATTTATTCCTTATACTGTAAAGATAGCAACTATTTATTTTGGTGCATGTCCCGACCCCAGGGGTGTGGTATCACACCCACTTTTTTGTTAATTATTATCTGTAAATCTCTACAGGTTGCAATAATTAACAGATTTTGTTCGAATTCAGCATATCAATCATTTCAATAACAGCGTGGTACCTACCTATATTATTGTTCCATATCCATCCCCCAAGGGCAGAGCCACGCCAAATATTTGTATTTATCGTCTACAGGCTGCATTTCTGCATGGATAATTTTGGAACTTTGCATATTTATTCCTTATACCGTAAATACAGCAACTATTAATTTTGGTGCATGCCCACTTTTTTATTAATATTTTTAGTCTGTAAACTTGGCAAAACAAACCCAACGCCTAGCCTTCTTTTAAAAAATACCATACCAATCAAAGCAGGATTTTGGACGTTTGTTGCAGCGTTGGCGATGGTCTCGTTGACTTGAACCACTTGACGGATTTCGACCAATTAACTTGAGTAAGTGCTTGGGTGGTGCTTATTCGGATTTGCCTAAAAGTGGGAAATTCTTCTCTTAAGCAGCAATCAACGATATTTTGTAGACAAGCTGGTTTGGCAGTGCTCATTAACCTTCCATTGCGTGTACCCGGTAGTACCGGGTAGTATAAAATGTCGTTAAAATGCGCCTTCCCGGTATTACCGGGCTCAGTACGGCCCTTGCTAAAATTAGCAAGCGGCAACCCGTAAAATGGCAAGGTAGACGATGTACTCTCGACAAGTGATACACATAATTCGTTCCCAGTTAGTTGATAATGATAGTAGTCAGGACAGTGATTGGTAGTATGAATTGTGTAATTTGTTGCGCGACGTTCCGCCTATGGCTATGTCTCCGGTGCATGATGAACAAGCCCAATGTGAACATGATAGCCCTATGCTTGCAGTAGATTCTGACGATAATTCTGATGTTGATAATGCTGGTCTGCTGGATCGTAAATGATGTGGGCAATTCCAGAGTCCTGAACGTGTAGATCTATAGATCATGATATGGGATTGGGGATGAAAGTGAAAGTGATGGTGAAAACAAGGTATTGTAATTCACACGTGGTCATGGCAGCGGGAGGCGTGGTCCGCGTGTTCATGGTGGCATTTTTCTCGTGGCTGCTATTGATATTTGTGTTCATTTTATATATCTTTATCAAAGTCCAGTGAAAAAAACAATATCCCATAAGTATTTCATGGAGAAAAATTCGTTTTCGTCTTAGCTTTAGTGAGAAATGAGAAATCCAAAATGGCCGCCATGACGCCATGTGACTACATGATTATGCAAATTTCCGAAATTCTATTTTTTCCTCTATGCCCATCCCAACACACAAGAATTTCCATAAAAGTTTCCATAAGTATTGTTAGTTCCAAATCCCCTTTTATCCTCAAAAAGGGCCCAGCACAGGCAGTGGATTTAAGTCTAGTATTGAAAGGGTTTTAATGCTTGTTGAAATGATGTTTAAAGGGCTTCAAATTTTGTAATTTCCGTATATCTATTATTTCTTCACTGAAACTGCTTCATACATTTCAACCAAATTTGATAAATATCTTACCCGGCTAGAACTTATTCGTTTGTTTGCAAAGAGTCAAATTAGACGTTTTCTACTTCTCGTAAATCGCCCAATTTGCTGGGCCTAGGTACAGAGTTGGGGCCACTTTCCTCTTACCATTTTGTCCCATGGATATCTCATAGGCCGGCTTCTGTTAACATTTTCTCTCATAGAAATGTTTATTAGTCTACCGGTTACAGAATAAGACCACCGATGGGCGATTACGTAATAATAGACTACCGGTTACAGATTAAGCCATCCTGGCCTCTAATTTTATATATTTGTCAAGGACGGGGTCACATCAGCACAAAAGCTGTTCTGTTGCCGACTGTTGCTCTTTATATATGGTGGATGTATTCTTGCTCCAATCTAAGTATGGCAATCTCTCAAAATTTCCGTCTGACATAATGATCAACTTGACAGCTGTTGGCGGAAAAATTGTTTTCGGCGTATTTCTAGGTTTTTGGTAATATTATAGCTTAATGTATTTTTTTTAAAATCCTGCCAATTCTTGTCTTGTCTAGACACTCGACAGAAAATTTACTTGAAGTTCAATACAGACCCTGACCTCAACCATCCTTCACCTTTTTTTTTATTCTGTGTACTTTCCATCGAATTATCTTTCCATAGCTACGGGAGCATCCCTAAAAACTTTCAGATGTATCTGTAGAGATACGCATGATCGAGAGATGAGATCTCTAATCTAATCTTTGACAACATAACCTTCCCCAACATCAAATATACTAAATCATCATTTGAACATTTGACACATTCTTTCAATCGATGTTGCAGAGAGGGAGCGCGAATTTCAATTTCGACCAATATATTTTGTCAAGTTTGGCACGGATGGAAGGAAAAACCGAGGTCCCGTAGCTAGTTAAATTATACTTCATAGACAAAATATCTGTAATCGCTCACGGTATGATGTATACCCGTCTTCATTAGTCCGGTAGGTGCAGAAAAGTAAGACATTAAACCCAATTTCATCAAAAAATGAAATGAAATGAAATGGGGTTTAACGTCCTACTGTTCTGCTCCTATGCTGGGCTAATGAAGGCGGGCATACGCCATACAGTGTGCTATGAGGGTAATTTTGCCCGGGCAGCGGCACTATCGCCTACTCTTATATCGAATTCCAACTGCCAAGGGATCTTTTACGTGCATTCCAATGTACACACGGGACCTCGGTTTTTCGTCTCATCCGAAGGACTAGACATATGTCCTTGTCAGGCCCTCTGACCTGCATCACTGACAAGGGGGAACCACGCCGGAAAATCTGGATGAACTTTCTCGGCCAATGCAGGGATCGAACACCCGACCTCCAGGCTAGCGAGCCAGCGTCTTACCCACTTAGCCACATGATCCCCCCCCCCCCCCATTTCATCAACTCGGTGATTCAACTGCAACGTCAAATAACCACATAAAGATAAGTTAGTACCTGTGAACATGGGAGGGAAGAATTTGTCTGGACAGGAACAACCATTATTGTTGATACATATCCTCTATAACGATCTTCTCGCTATATTGTCCACCCATTTAGCCCTATAACATCAACCCCACGGATCGAGAGGTAAATAAAATACAGATTTTTTTTCAAAATTTTGTAAAAATTTTTTATTTTTTCAATTTATAACAGATTTAATGTATTAAAATAGACAATACTAAACCAATAATCCTAGAATAGGAATTCTAATAGATATTAATAATAACATTACAATAACAGTACCACAATGAGCTGAGATTCAATATTACTAGAATAAATAACCATGAATAATATTCATCATGAAAGTCAGTTGAATGATGTCCAACTAATCCAATTACCTATTACTATTACATGATATTAAGTAATCTGTTAACAAACTTGAATATATTTGTAAGATTAAATTGGTCTCCATACGAATTTGTTCCCAACATTTAAACACAATTTATTAATATTTTAATTCGTGATTAAATTTAACCAATAAATTAGAGTTTATGTTTATGATATAACAACTAAATTAGAACTCATCTTATTTCATGTTAAATGACTAAAGTAGAGCTCAATTTTATGCTAAAAAGGTGCATAATAAAGGATAAGATGAAAAACAAATCTGCCTAATAATGATAAATAAAACCGGATTTTTACATTATATACATTAATGGGACATAAATTGTGATCCACAGTAATTACACAACAATTATTATTAAAAAATATAAAGTGAGATATACAATAGAAAGTTAAATTAGATGGCTTGTGATCTTTAGAAGAGTGATGATTCTTTTACTCTCTTTTAAAATCTTCCGAATTCACTGATCTTTCTGATGAACTAACTAACAATCGTAATAACTTATTTGAATGGAGATGATTTTGTGATAATATTAATAATAATAATAATAACAACAACAACAATAATTGCAAACATACACAAATGTAAAAACATGTCAAAATTTCCCTGGCAACGCCTTTGTAAACAATAAAATGTAATGACTATGAGTTCATTTGTTTTGAACGTATGAGTAATTTGAACAACAATACTGATAAATCATTAAAAGTTAATATTGTTCTGATGAATGATTTGAGCTACCAAATAATAACAATTCATTTCTCACTGAACTCATTGACCAACTTCATTGCACTACCCCATCCATTCTCATAAATGTCTTTGTTCTAAATCAAATTGTCATTGAGGATGAAAATGAGGATTTCGGATTTAAAAAGTTTTTTTTTTACTATCTGATATTGGTCAGTTTGAAAAATGTTTTGATTAAAGTTATCACTGGGAATACATTTCTTGATGTAAAGATGGAAACGAATTACTGAATTCTTCAGGGGCTGCCATTTTCATTTTACTCAGAGCTTGTGTGTGTTTTTCATTTATTTCTCGGAAAATTGGTATTGTGGCCATCAGCTTTGTATAAATACTATCAGCATCTGAAAGAGAAAACGTTTTTCTCTTGAAAATAAGTAAATAAAAGATAAATCAAATGTTTTTTTTTATAATATCGACATTTACATAGGGCATGGAGGGATTTCATGCCAAAATAATTACTTTTTGAAGATTAAAAGGAAAAAGAAACTTGCATACCTGTGTGATTTTCTTTTAATTGTAAATAAATTGCTTGTTTAAATAACCCTTGAATCTTATCAACATCAGCTTTACTCTGGGAACCTGCTCTATCTAAAATTAAAGGGAAAAAACATAATGTTTTTCTGTAGGTATATTTCGAGATTTTCATTGATTTGAATAAATTTTCCTGTGCATTCCATTTATTAAAGACAATTACTAATTAGTAGTTACTGTATTGACCATTATTACTAAAGTCAATTACTAAGTATTCCATTAAATACAGACAATTACTCAGTTTTTCGAATATAATAAAGACACTTACTGAGTATATTTATTGGTTCACACGTTATTTTTCTCAGCACAGAACATTTCAAACTTTAATACATGTGATTTGATTAAAGATATTGTACACTTTTTAGAATGGGCACTTACCAGGTGACATGACTAGAATGGATGTAAAGAGACCAATTTCCCCGTCTGTTAATGCTAGTGGATTAAATTTCTCTGCTATTTTATAAAACTCCATTAATAACTGACCCATTGGCATGGACTGAAGTGCCTGTCTAAAAACAAGAAAAAAAAATGTTTATTTATTTTAATAACAAATAGTGTATGCGGTGTTTATGTGTAAATAATACAATAGGTGTCAGATATTGATAAAGAATGAATCTGAACAGCTTTATCTTGTCTCTAACCACTGCTCATTAAAATGGCTTATACTCGACATAAAGTAGTTGGGGTTGTTTTGTTGCATTAACGTGTCACATGTTTAGATGTACAAAGGTCAGACAGGCATGGTACGTTGCATGCCAATTATTATCTGTACTTAAGACCCCAAAAAAACAAGTTGACCAGGTCACCTACATGACTTCTTTGAACTTGCACTTTGAACTTACCTGGGAAATTTGATTGAAAGTGAGGGATCTATCATATCTCCAGTTTCTGTGTTGATTAACATGCAGAATCGTGTGACTAAAATTTCAAATGATGCTTGTTTAATTAAAACCATTTTGTCTTCTGGTTTAATTTGTGAAAATCCTGAAATTAAAACGATATAAATTTATAATAACGGTTCACTTTAACATGTAATTACATCCGAGAGTTATAAGGTTTTTTAAACCCTCGTATATATCTGTTTTAATTACAATTCATGTCAAAAAATAATAAGGAAACTGACAGGCAAAATATATTTCTAATATTGCCACTCAAATAAATTAACATTATTAATTAATAAGATTTAGTACCTGGTAATCGGTTGCAGAATTTCACAGCTTTCGTGATTTCGGGAACCATTTGGGAGACAAATTTCTGCCAAACACAGGAGGCATTTCCGGCCATTTTTGACATATCCGGCTAAAGAGAAAGAAACAAAATATGTTTAAATTTTAATTATGTTTCTATACAGGTAAAAATATATCTTGAATATATTTATTTAAAAAGAAGTATAAAACGCCCTATATCTAAACAACCTATGCCTGGTTGAAATAAACTGCTACACATGCAGCAATTGTAACACACCCTATCTGATTGTGGCTGTGATAATTTGACATATTATGGTAATTTATGGAAATTAATAGATATTATCGGACATTTATTGCAAGTCTGCCGCAATAAACGTGCCACAAAGATTAACCGACATTTCTCGTATTCGGAAGCTCCCGAGACAGAACGTTACCTGCCTGGCATTGACTTCTATTTTCTTTTTGTTTTATTGGTTGTTTTTTTTTTACTATTTTATGTTTTATTAAATTACGAGATAAGCTTACTGATTTTCTCAACCAGCTCTCTGATAAAATTTGTATTAATTGATTTTATACTTATAGATAAAATACTTTACTACTGACTGGTACATTAAATAATTTGAAATAAGGTAGGTAATTATAACTTACCATATTGCCTGCTGCCATGTTAGCATCTATTTTTCTCTCAGCATCAGCTACATTTTGGTATGTATTCAAACATGTTTCCAAATGATTTGACACTATAGCTTCTGTGACGTTTTTAATTAGTTGTCTCTCTTCTGATGAGATTGGTTTTTGCACCTCCAGTAACAACACGTCACTTTCTGTGTTGGCATTGGGATCTGTTACATTAGATGCCGCAGCACTCTGCGTATTACCATTACCATTGCCGTTTCTGTTATTGTTGTCGGATGCCGTAGTGGTAGTTTTGTTGAAGTTGTCGTTCTGGAATTGTGGTCTATTGTCAATAGCCTGGTTATTAGTATTGACCGACTGTGTCGTTGACGGGATTGTCGTAGTCGGGGATGGCGGTGTCATCAGATTGCCTTCGCTGTCAACACTGGTTAAAGTTGTTGCATTTAACCTATTGCAGAGAAAAGCCTCCATCATCTCCGACTTGAAAGCCCCATTTGACTGCAAAATTCCTTGGATTTCAGACATCTTAATTTCTTAGGCTAGGAGTTGGAAGTAACAAATTGAAGCTATGAGGTGACTTTAAAAAGCTGTAAAATATATACAAAATAACATGTAGCTTTCAACTCACCTTAATAATATAGCAAAATATTTTAGCAATCAATTAAACTTTAAAAGAAAAGTTAAAACTTAATCTAGAAAAATACGATATTGAAAATAAATTTGTCAAATTCAGTAAGCATAAGCTTTCTTACCTTTCAAGGACCCTTCGATTGTCAGAGTGGAGAACAAACTTGCCGGCACCTCTTTTATAAGGGTTTAGTGATCGACTAACCCATTGTTGTAAATGGGGGAAGTTGGTTATGCAAACCTGTTGATCACAATACGGTTTTATAGTATAGAATACAAACTCGACCGCGAGACGTCAACCAAAGCTTGCCACACGCCATGTCCTGTGTAATATATAAGCTAGGCCGGCTTGTCATAGCTTAATTTAATTCGTTCACACACAATCTTAGCGTTAACCAGATGCATTGACTCCCCTAAATCTTATAATGAATGTTGCCAGAAATCGAGTTATGGATAAATTAACTGAGTTTTCTTAACTGGGTAGAAACAGCTGTTTGGGATGAAGGAACATCTTGGCCATTACGTCCACGTCCATGCAGTGATTTCATGATCACTTCTTTGGCCCAATTCGTGCTCAGGGGCGGGAATCTTGGCTTCTTAGACAGTCATTTCTTTATATTTAACACGTTTAACCCAACCAAAATGCATTTGCGGCGAATCATTTTTGCACGATGCTTAAACTCGGTCAAAGATAAAACTGGAAACACGCTATGCTCTGAAGAAAAAAATGGCCTTGTAACAAATCGAATCATTTAAGAATCATGTTGCAGACCAGTTAACGATTCAGCACAAAAGCACTTTGTACTTTTTCATTTATTTTGCGCAATACAGTTACCGGATCTTTTCATACCCCCCCCCCCCCTTGTTTTTTCGTATTTTAACGCGTGTTCTTGTTGATTTGACGCTGAAGTTTTATTAAATATTTTGAACGTGGTATAAAAACACATTTGTGGCTGTTAGATCATCTCAATGTCAGTTTTTGAGACCACGTGGCAGATTGCACTGGAAGGGCTCAGTCTGAAATATTTGTTCAAATATGAAATTAAATTAATCAAAGGGGCCAGCAAATTCTAGATGCATTCATGGAAACCCAATTTAATCTCATGCTTTGGAAAGAATTAAATTAGAACTTAAATGCAGTGACCCGGTCACGTGTTCAAATAAACAAGAAACGAAATATAATAAATCCTGAATGAGTTCGCTTTCTTAGTTAATCAATCTGTTATCGAGAACTAACCGAATTACCATGACGGCATAAGAAGAAAAGCTATACATGATGTTGTCGCGCGTTTTTCTTTGCAGGCGTCCAGGTCTGCCGGCTACAATTGGCTATGTACAGCGGACATTTCTAGATATCGGTGTATTTATAGCCAGACGCGAACCACGTGTATATAAGCTACCCTAGGCGTCAATATTAGTATTGATCAGTAATGAGGAAAAAACAGTGTTTATATATACTTTCTCTATGCATCATGTACTGTTGTTACTCGATGAATAGGAAGTCAGAATTAATTTCTGATAACTATTCCTTAATTACATTGGTAAAAAAAAATCGGTTTGCGTGTGTTAATAATTTCCATCTTACCTATGGCCAACTTACCTATTAAAATGGTTATGGGCTAAAGTTTTAAATTGTGAATAATTATGGTACGCTTATAGTGATTTTTATCCCATACACTTTTATAGCGGTACACCTATTTATATCATATATGGGTTAATTCTCTACCGATAACAAACATCACCATAATGATATCACAGCGACGTCATTCAGAAAATAATATTTATAGCTATCTAGAACTCGGACAAGTAAACAAAATGTATCATATGAGACTAATATGGAATTATATTTAACATATAATATATCGAACTAATTATTGAAATATATATAATTGTTACATATTAATAATCTTATAACCAGTAATAATATTAGATGAATCTGTTGCAATATTTTGACCCTACACTTATATTTATAAAATTCGTAGCAGTGTAGGATTATGTCACATCTTGATGACTTGAGAAAAATGAATAATAATTGAGAAAACCTGTGTAATAATCGATCGTGGTCTAATTAATCATAGAGAACACTGACATTTTTAGCCTAACTGTTGGAGACATTGCATATTAAGAATAGTGTTCGTCGTTGCTATCAAATCTTTAAAACTTGTGCTAATCTAAATAATTTTAATCTTATGTAAGATGCATATCTTTAATTCGACTTTTAATTGAAACAGAGTATCAAAAATAAGTTAATTACATTATTTTCAAATTGATGAAAGAAAGGTTTGATTTCATCTGTTGTTGTTCTGTGATGCTAATTATAAACAATAGAATTAATAGATTTTGAAATTTGATATGTCATATTCATTTGGTTATCTTAATCTGGGAGTAACGAATAATAGATAATGTTTCGTTCATTCATAAAAATAACACACGGCTATAATTGGCACATAATGATAACCTTGAAATAGTTTTGACCTTTACGTTCATTCTGAACATTTGCATCGATAACAAATAACATTGGCCATATTAGTGAAACTTGCTTGACTGCTTTTTATGACTAAAACGTATATTCTAAACAATTCTTCTTTGTTTTGTGTTCATGTCAACATTTGGTTGGTAAAGTGAGCTATAGAAGAACGAAAACAATAATGTGTTTGTGTAACACGCTTGAATAAAGAAAAATAACATTTATACCAATATTGCTCTATTTCTATACATTTTATGTCAGGAAATAAATCTACACGAGTGTGTGCATGTAAATTTATTTAACGCCCGCTTCCAACGGGTTGATATCGCAGACAAAGTTATATACATGTTGTATACACGGTTGCCTATGCATAATTTTTTTAACCGAGAAAAATGTTTCCAGATTTGTTTTTATATTTCAAAATGTCATGTGCAAAATGGATCTTAATCTCAAAAACCCATATTTTAATTCGGTTGTCGATCTTATAAAAACCATCTGTATTTGAATTAGTCGTGCATATTTCCATTTTCACTTAACGCAATTCTGCGCAGGTGTGAGATTGGCTTAGATTTTTAACGCTAAATTTAAGATAAAACATTCGATTTGCGTGATCGTACTTTTGGTATCAATATCAATAAATTTGCGCCGACAACAAAATAACCACAGGCTTATTACACCAACCTTTGTAAGTACATACTGAACGGAATTGAACCATTTTGGGGCTGATATTTCGTTTAGAGATTCATCTTTCAAAATGTTGTAGTTTGTAGGTGATTATATAGCGCTAAAATGACGCACCGGGACTTTAAATTTAGCTCATATGATATTCTAGAAATAAATCGATTATAACTTTGGTAGCAGAAACTTGAAGACATAAATATTGTAGTTTGCAGGTGATTCTATAGCGCTAAAATGACGCACCGGGACTTTAAATTTCGCTCATATAATATTCTAGAAATAAATCGATTATAACTTTGGTAGCAGAAACTTGAAAACATAAATACATTAAGATTTTTTATATAGATATACATGTACATGTATTGAATAGGGCCAGTAGTTCACATTTCGTTAAAATTCCACAAAGGTAAAAAGGTTACTTAATAGAGACCCACTAACCTAGTGAAATGATATAAGCAGTTTTTATTTTTGGATTGCGTAGTTTAAAGCTTTTCATTATGTTCAAATACCTTCGTAGATGGCCCACTATGATATCTATCATACTCTTTTTTATGGTTGATGGGATTTATTTTATAGTTTATGACATGGAAGTAATTTCTAGTATATTTGTGTGTATACCCACAATTTAAATAATACTTAAAGATACATTATGGGAGATTTTAATAGAGAGTTGGCCATTCTTGCTATAACAGTTCAAAAATAGATGATAAAAGAACAATATATTGAAAATTTCAGTCAAATTACTTTATTCTGAACAAAGTTATCACCATTGTAATTTTTGACTAGAAATAGGAGTCAACTCTCTCTTCTCCGTCTCCGAAAATGGCCGATCGTTGATTGACAGGCGTTAACATCACCTACATAATCTCGATTATCAAGTAGCCTAACGTTTTCAATGGCTGTGGTACCGTTAGCCTATTCGGTTTGAGACGGGGTTGCAATTCAATTCGTATCACATTTATTTTTAGTACAAATTAAAAATAAGACTTTTAATATATAGATAAGAAGCGAAAGTTTGAAAAGAATGGACCAAATCAATGAGGCATAATTACAGCCGACTTCTTATTAGCCTGCGTGTACTCTTGTACTGTAACTGACAGGCCTACGTAAATCCCGAAGCAGACAAATGGGAAATAGTGATCCAATGGGGCTGCGATGTTAGCTGCGATGTTTATCAATTTCCTTAATTTTTCTGTAAATGCAAGTGAGAAAAGAGCGTATAATACCGACATCCAAACTCTCATTTTAACCACAACTAAACATAATATCAAGGCTGTATATATCGAACTTTCAATCAAATTGACTGACATGCGGCCTCGCTCAACAGCGGCCTCGCTTCGTACACTCTGGCCTATCATTTTGCCTCGATCTAAAATTCCCGGGAGTATGACGTCAACGTAACGGTTAATCTCCGCTTACGACGCCATTTGAAAATTTAATCAATCAATGAAGTCCTGTTTAAATCGAAGCCGAATCCAAGTCATCCGTGGGTCTACAGAGTTGATTTTGTGCTTGTTGTGTAAATAAAGATCTAATTTATAATTTCTATGACATCTGAAGCCTAAATAAAGACTTGCAATAATCAAATTTAGCTCTTGCATAATGTATGTTTAAGAGTGCAACATACGCATATCGTTGTCAATTGCGACCTAAATTGTAGAAATGTTTGCGCAACCTATAAGAATGTACAAACCTTGGTCTTTCATTTGCAATAAAAAAAACCACCCCTATTTAATGTTGATCTTTCTTGCATAAACTCAGTAACATTGATAGCTTAGAAATTTAAGATTATCAGTCAATACATACAGATGAATAGGCCTACACAATCGGCATTTTGATATCATCTCTATGGTCATCGCGTGGCTCATTATGACACTTAAAGATGCATTATGCAAGAGCTAAATCTAGTTATTGTGGGTATTTATTTTGTTTTCAAATGTTATTTAAACTATTATTTAGACATTTATTCACATAGCAAGCCTTTAGGAACACGTTCGCTATTTAATGATTTAATTTAAAAATGGTGAACCGGGGCTTTATCTGGATTAACAAGTACAATCTGATTAAAACACAGATCCTATTTCGTTTCGTTTTTTATACTTCA